ATTTTAAAGTCCACTGATTGTCTGCATGTAATACAGTATTTTAATGTCCATTGATTGTCTGCCTGTAATACAGTATTTCAAAACTAACTTTCAGTCTATCATACAGTGTTTTAATGTCCACTGATTGTCTGCCTGTAATACAGTATTTCAAAACTAACTTTCAGTCTATCATACAGTGTTTTAATGTCCACTGACTGTCTGCCTGTAATACAGTATTTCAAAATTCACTAACTTCCAGTTTGAAACAGTTTCATTTTGCTCCTTACTTCAGATTTATCACAACCACATTTCTAAAATGAAAAGATAAACATAAAGCTTGAAATATGCTGAATAAGTCACTCTTTAACACAACAGCTGTTAATAGACCTCTTTTTAATATCACATTCACTTGTTGACTTGACCAGAAAAAAGAATTACATTGTGTAGCATTATACTAAAGGATGTTGAAACTCATTTAATATTCACTGCTTTCTTCAAACCAATAGAAATATAAGTTAACCAGGAACATTCAAATCACATCTGTTTACAAACACCTTCTTGGAAAGTACTCTTAAAAATATGCTTCAACATAATGACATTTTAAAGACAGCTTGAAATATTGTGAAGGAAATGCATCTGAACAGGTAGTTCACAAGAAATTTTGAATAATCCTAAAACTATGCAAAATATCAAGAAAATTATTTTTGTAATAAAATTACTTTGAAACCATTACTGTACAAAAATAGCAGTTTATATGCAAGGCTTTCTTAAGTTCAAAGGTTTGTTTCTCTTCTTTCAATTTGTTTAACTTTGTCACATATCTAATACTTTATTGCTATTAAAATACTAAAATATAAAATTTAACCATTTTCTCAGAAAATAAGCATCACATTTGTTCAAAGAGCAATCTGGTTATTTATAAATCTCCTTGTTTTATGAATAATTGATATAACTGGAAACACTTAAAATTTCTTTTATGTATCAACTTTGATCTTATTTTCTCAATGACCCTGATGAGCTGAGAGGAGGTAAGGTAGATGATTTCTGTGGTTGGTATTTATGAGCCGACCTCATAGAAGCCCTTAAGTAACAAACAGATAAATAATCTGCAGTAAATATAAATCTATAAACTCTTCCACAACATATAAACACACAGTAAAGAAGATCCAAACAGCTTCTGACACTAGTTAATATTATACAACTTTCTGTAATAATACAGTAAAGATCCAAGCAGCTTCTAACACTAGTTAATATTATACAACTTTCTGTAATAACACAGTAAAGAAGATCCAAGTAGCTTCTGACACTAGTTAATATTATACAACTTTCTGTAATAACACTAAAGAAGATCCAAGTAGCTTCTGACACTGGTTAATATTATATAACTTTCTGTAATAACACAGTAAAGAAGATCCAAACAGCTTCTAACACTAGTTAATATTATACAAATTTCTGTAATAACACAGTAAAGAAGATCCAAGTAGCTTCTAACACTAGTAAATATTGTACCATTTTCTGTAAATGTATCTTAATTAAAGCTTACTAACCTGGGAGATGCTCGAGTTTCCTGATTGGCCGCATAACCACATTTTTCAATTTTCTTCCGTAAACGAGAGACCCATAATTGTTGGTCTTCTACAGTATTTGCTAACAGTAACATTTCTTTAGCTGAGTTAGGGTCATAGTTTACCTTACATGGTGCTATCACTTCTTCTTTCTTGTCAAGATGATCCTTGTGAACTTTGACTCGACAACCTACGATCACACAGGTGAAAGATCTGAATATTCAACACAAATCAACATTTCTCTATGTTTCCTTGAATTTCACATTGCCATTATTGAAAATGAACAGGTATCTCAGAATACAAGAAATTTTAAATAACAGTCTATAGGACTTGGAATAAAAGTATTACTTACGTCTACATTCTAGTGCAGGTGGAGGCTTAAACATGTGCCACATTGGTCGTGGGCATACTTCACATGTGGTTGGCATGTGAAAGCTAATAGGCACAAACTCATGACCTTTGTGGTCAAACGTTCCAGGCTGCATCAACTGAAAAGCAAGTCCATACCCACATAAGTGATTAAGTTTGTTCAGTAGAAATGCAAAAATGTTTAGTAACTAAGTATTGCACAATGTAAACAATTATCCAAACCAAAAACCTGTTACTAAAACAGTTTTCAGATAACCAAAGTGTTATAAAAATATGATTCTTATAATTAAAACAAATAAAGAAAAGATCTTGTAGCTGGTTTGCAAAAAAGTGGCAAATACAATGCAAAAAAAATATAAGAAACTTAATACACCCAAATTTTCAAGCAGATGTTGTTATAAGACTGTTACATATTAATGTTTCCTTTACCATTTTATTTTTAATTTTAGCATCATTACTTAGATTATTGCATCTTGGATAACGTTTATATTTCTAGGAAGCCAGGGAAACTGAATGTACAGTTACTTGTGAAGATTACAGTTGATATGTCAAGTTTAGTTATTTATGAAACAAGGTATCTAACGTACAGTTTCTTGTAAAGATCAGTTTAATTACGTATGAAACTAGTTCAGTGATAAGAAAAGAAAGGGAATTGGTGTATTGTTGTTCATAAAAGACAGGTTTGGTAATCAGCAAAGGATAGGAACAGATTTACTATTCCTTATAAAAATGTATTAGACTAATGTTCAATAATAAGCAAAGCTATGGAATGGCTGCATTGTTCTTTTTTAAGGATTTAGTACACCAAGCTTCTGTAATGAGCAAAGTAAAGTTTATTTGTTGAATTACATGCAAAGTTACTCAAAGGCTATCTGTGCTAGCCATCCATAACTTACAAGTAGTAGTTTCGTATGGTGTTTCTCACACCTCCAAATTCTGTTGGAGGAGAGTTTCCCGGGAGTAGGACTTACGTCCTAGTTCAGACACCAGGTGAGTATGTTTCAGTGTCACGGGGATTCGATCCCACGACCCTCAGATTGCGAGTCGAGTGCCCTAACTACCTGGCCATGCTGGCCTAACTTACAAGTGATAGGCTACAGATAAAACCATTGCCAATTCTTAGGCTACTGTAATAGAACAGTGAGACTGACCATCATATTATAATGCCCCACTGCTGAAAGGGCACGTTTCATGATAGGAAATTGAACACAGGTTGCGAGTCTCACACCCTAACCACCAGGCTAGAAACAAAGAAACTGGTGTACTATTCTTTGTAAAGGTGTAGTGGACTGAAGTTCAGAAAAAAGAAAGCAAGAAAAATGGTGTACCAATTAAGCACCATTATTCAACTAATATGGTGTAAAACAGCTTGTATTTTATGACTTACATCTTTGGGAAGTTGTACTTCTGGAGGAAGGCTACTGTCTCCCTGTTTTCTGCTTTCCCCTTCTCCAGCATACAGTAACTGTAGAATAATGTAACCGTCACTTAATTCTAAACATTACTCATAGAAAAAAATACAATAAAATACTCAGTCTAAACTGAATGTGAGGTAAATATCCTGGTTAAAAAAATACAATAAAATACTCAGTCTAAACTGAATGTGAGGTAAATATCCTGGTTAAAAAAATACAATAAAATACTCAGTCTAAACTTAATGTAAGGTAAATAACCTGGTTAAAAAATACAATAAAATACTCAGTCTAAACTTAATGTAAGGTAAATATCCTGGTTAAAAAATACAATAAAAAAGTTAGTCTAAACTGGATGTTAGGTAAATAACCTGGTTAAAAGAGGAACGTGAGAGAAATATCTTTGTAAAGAACACACAAAATGAGCAACATGTAGAAAAAAGCAAGTGTTACATAATAAAGAAAAATAAACAAAAAGAGGTTTCTGTTATGGGTGAAATATCTGTGTAAGTAAAGCAAAAACATAGAAAAGCAAGCACTCAGCAAAAATGGAATATGTAGGAAGATAGAAAACACAAAGTATGCACAAAATCAAACGACAGCCATGCCTGAACTAAGGAGAATATATTCTTATTTAGAGAATAAACAGATGCTAAAGACAAGCATCAGACATACCTGGAATATACGGGGAATATCTTTGGCATCAGCACGTATCACATCACCTTGAGTAACAGATCTGACATGAAACAGCTTACTGAAACAAACAACAAAGCTGGGTGATAAACACATGATGTTGTATAACACCAACAGGCATGAAACAGCTGACCAAAACAAACAACAAAGCTGGATGATAAATACATGATGTTGTATAACACCAACAGGCATGAAACATCTTACAGAAACAAACAATAAAGCTGGGTGATAAACACACAATGTTGTATAACACCAACACACATGAAACAGGTCACTGAAAAACAACAAAGCTGTATGATAAACACGATGTTGTATAACATCAACAGACATGAAACATGCAATTGAAATAAACATCAAAGCTGTACCATCTCTAAATATAAGGTTATAACATAATGAACATGGATCACTGTACCATCTCTCAATATGATGTGTTATAACATAATGAACATGGATCACTGTACCATCTCTCAATATGATGTGTTATAACATAATGAACATGGATCACTGTACCATCTCTCAATATGATGTGTTATAACATAATGAACATGGATCACTGTAC